CCTCTATTGACTGGAACTTTCCGGTTCATGCGTGCGTTTTTCTTTTTTCTCTTCAAGTTGAGATAAATTGAACCTGTATCTCTAAACCAGCACAGCTCTGTTTCTCTTTTACCTTTTAATCATTCTTTTCTAACACCTTCTATTACAATAGACTCTCTTGCTCCTCTTTAGGTCCTCTTCATTCTCCCTCCTAATGTCTCCAGTTCCAGGGCTATCACAGTCTATCTGCCTTCAAGTCTCACCTTAAGCTTGGCTTCTTCTAGGTAATCTATCCTGACTAGAATGTGACAACAAGTGTGAGCGCACACTGCAAACCTTCTCAAATGTATAAAACATAAAGTGAGATTTCAGTACCACCGCTAGCTTAATCACTATCAAGAAAATGGAATATATAATTCTTTAGCCCTTTAAGATACTGTGGTCCTTGTCTTCACCAAATGTTAACAAATACTTCTCCAGAATAATAACTGGTTTGGTGTTTAAATTTCTGTCAAATAAGACAGAAATAATATCTCACTTTAATAATGCAACCCTTTTAAAATAACAGAGTTAACCTCAAACAAAATAAAGGTATAAAATGGGAGCTTCATTTTGAGTAATTTAAGAAAAAAAATAACAGCTGGCTTGAACTGAAGTGCTGCTGGATGTAGGTATGTGTTGTAGGCAGGCCCGTGTGAGGTACTGGGGCAGGTATTAACAATTACGTTCTGGAGTCAGTCTACTCTGTCAGAGTCTATATGCGACATTAGATGTGACTTTTTTGTGTAAACATCAATAAGGACCCTACATTATATGCTTTATATTTATATCAGTCAAGCAAAGGAATATAAATTAGTACCTTAAAAAATAAAAGACTAGACAAAAATGAGAAGTTCAGCTCTGGACAATTAATGTTTGGCACCCCCATCAAGGTGAGTTGTTATGTTTATTCTGACAACTCGCATCCCATGCTTCCACAGCTACCTTTATTATAGCTAAGGTAAGGTAGGGGGAAGATCAGAAATAGTTAATAAACGAATAAACTAAGTAAAAAATATGAAAGTTATTTGCTGTTTTTTAGGAAATGGAGACTACAGATATTGAATCAACACATTTACTTTTAAATTCATTGAACCATACTACCCCCTTGTTTTCATGCATATACCTAAACAACTAGAGGAACATAATACAGGAAAGCTTCTCCCTAGAGATCAAAAACAACAAAAGTCCATGTAAAGCCAATATTTTTAATTGACTTTCAAATCTTGTCGTTTGACATTAAGCAATAAAATCTGAAACCCATTTTAGAGATGTACTAAATTCTCAGTCTGAAAGTAACTGCTGTTCCTTGTTCCGTGTGTGTGTGTGTGTGTGTGTGTGTGTGTGTGTGTGTGTATCATCAGCACAACTAAGACAAAATCGCAGCCAGGCCTGGACCACTGCCAAGCAATTGATTATTAGCCATTAAAGGGGAAATGTTTACTTATTCATGGCAACTAGTTTTCAGAAGGAAAGGCAAATATGTCTGATTTTAAATGCTGCCTTTTCTTTCCCTCCTAAAGCTGATCAAGATCATTCACTTCTTGGACCTGTCAAAAGCCCGTTTTTATTTTCCTTTTGCTATTTTAACCAGAATACTGATTTTAAAAGGGGACGAGCAGTTGCTATGAGGCAAAGAAAAATGTCCTGGCAGTTGAGGGCCCTCCATCTATCAAGGGGAATTTGCAATGTTGCCTCTCTTCAATACTGTATAGATTTGCAGGATTTTGTGAAACACTTAACCAAAATGGAAGGATTTAAAAACAGGACGCAAGATATGGATGCAATCATTTTTTAAAAATCAAGATACTTTAGTTTTATTTCAGAAATTTCTAGTTTTAAATTCTTAAGCACGCAGCAGTGCTGATCTTCTCAGATAATACTTTTGAAAGGATGATTAGGGCAGACTGCTTAAATATATTCACTATAGCACAGATGCCTAAGGATTAAAAAATCCTAGTGGGATTGAGATGAACTCCCTCCAATTACAGGGAAACAAATACTTATCTAATTAAATAACAATATTCACAAGCTATGTTGAGTTGCAAACTAAGTGTCCAGAACACTAAACAATATTTTAATATCTGGAAAGACTATGCAGCTAGATACTTATTTGTGATTCTAAGAATCTCTTAGGAATTGGAGGCAATTCATATAGACATTTCCAATATGTATAAAACTTAATGTCTTGACTACTTTTTTCTATTGATCTAATATGAAAATAATGTTTTCCTTCCATGTCTTTGAGTTTATCTGATGTGAAGAGACAATAAACAAAGCACCTTTCTCTAATAATTCTGGCTCTCTGCCCCCCTATCCCCTGCTTCTTCAGAAGGCACAGTTTAAATGAAACAACCTCCTGGAGACCCCAGGCCCTGACTCTTGGAGATAATTTAGTAAAGCCCCAACACAGGGTTGAGAGGAAGACTGGACTAGCACGGAAGCACCTATGAAGGAGGGGAGACTCCCAGAAGAAGCAGGGACATGCAGTGCTATCTGGAAGCAGGAGCTACAGTTTCCCTGGGGTATTCAAAACACAGACTGGGGCCCGGGAACACTGTTCCCACGTCAGGGAAGGCGAGGCTAGAAGTAATACTCGGAGCTAATCTCAGAGCTAGGTCCTCCCCAGAGTACAAGGCAAGATGGGGGATGCATCTCCTCTTTGGGAGCCACATACTAAGAGTAAAAGCAAATATTTGATGCTGAAGAGCTCTTAAGAACTGAAGAGTGCCATTTACTTATTTCTACACGTCAGTGTGGGCTTAGGATGTTAAATAGATTAAAAGGCTAAGAGAGGTCAGTCACTCCAGGAAAGATTCCTCCTTTGCTTCTCCTGACTTGGTTCTCTTTCCAAAATTGTGATCTACTCCACTCCACTCCACTCCTGTGGAGGGTCCTTCGGAAACTCAAAAGATGGCACATGCTCTCCCAGAATATTGTGGAGAATGTGGAGTCAGGGTCCTTGGGATGGGAGTTCCAGAATACAATGAAGATTATTTTAGAAAAATTCCAGAGATGTGCATCATGAAACCTGTAGGGTTCTTAGAAGTTATCACATCTGGTCTCCTCTGTTTCAGAGGAGAAAGTAAAAGAGGCTCGGATTGAGGAGGTGATTAGGGCTGATTGGGGACAGAGCTGGGTGCCAACCGACTCCCAGCCCAGAGCTGCATCTGCCTGACAAGGTCTGGAGGTTCAGGCCTGTGCTAATGCTTCGCTGGGACAGACAGCCTTTGGCAGTGCCCTCCTTCGGCCTCTCTCAGGAGATGGGCTGGCAGAGGTTGCTGGGCCTGACCAGCCTCTAGGACGCTGGAGCTTAGGGTGCGGTGGGCTCCAGATTTCCAGCTTCCACCGCCACCCCTCCCCGCCCCTGGTCTACCCACAGTACCCTTCTCCCCATCTCAGAGACGACAGCCAAGTCATTTCAATTTAATCTTATTTAAAAAGACATAACTAATAAATCTATTGCCCGGGCTGCGGAGAGACAGCCAGCAAAGTCAATCGCGCTCCCAATCCCATTGAACCCCACTGAAAACCATGACAACACAGGACAAACTCTGATTTATCCCGGCGCGCTAAAGTGCATTGTGAGCAGGCGTCAATCACGCATTATTTCGGACTGAACAAATGCAAAATCTTGACTGGAACAAATGCTTCCAACAGGTCCGGGGCGTCGAGCTCCATTTCCCCTTTGTCCGCGGCCTAGCAGTTGTCCTGTACGGGGCTGGCCCCCGCCCGACCACCCAGGGCGCTGCGCAGCCCCGGGCGCCACCGGCACGCTTGACCGGGAGGCTGCTTGCAAAGGGCGCGCCAGGCCCTGTGGTGCCCTGGCAACTGAACGGAGCCAGGTCTGAGCTCAGCGCAGGTGGACCTGGCCCGGAAGCGCCACGCCCTTCACTAAATTTAACAACTGAACACCCAAACCACTGGCTGCCCGAGGAGAGGCCTCTGAAAGTACGTTCGCTGAGCAATAGACTGAACTATGGGCCATCAAAATGTGTTCACTCCGGGGCTCTTCTGAGCCTCTACACTGACCATTTCCTTGGCTTGGGCTGTGGGGACTAGATCTTGGAGAAACTCCAGGCAGGGCCGTCTCTTCCGCCATCCAATGCTCCCGATTGGTCCCAGTACTGACCAGGGACGGAGCGGGAGCCCAGCTCTGGGGCAGAGGCCACATGCCCGTCACCCGGCCTTATGTTACGGGTGCAGAGCCGGGGTGCACAGGTGGCGCCAACGCCGCAAGGTCCCCCTGGGCCGCCCTGCCAAACTCCTCCGCCCGTGAACTCTAAATCGGGCCTGGGCTCACCCTGCGGGGCTAAGCCAACGAGTCCGGCACTTCAGAATGACTTGCTTGGCCAGTATGGGGAAACTGGCGCTGAGCCAGGGCTCCCTACGCCTGCACCTCTGAAGTTGTGGGGGACATTTGGGGTGTGGGGAGGCTCCTAGCGGCCTTTAAAACCATTGGCCCAGATGCTGGTGGAGCCAGGCCACTCCTCTGTGCCCGCTTGAAACGTCTGGCCTCGGAGTCCTTAGAGGGGCCCCGCTAAAAAGAGAAGAGAGAACGCGCCAGTTTAACGCCGTCTTGTAAATCACTTTCCGGATAATTGCGGGAAACGAACACTCTAGCAAACAAGCTCGAGGAATAAACAAACAGGGAATAAATTCCTGGGTGCTCGTAAACCTACCCACGCCGCCCCCACCCACCCTGGAGCTCCCGTGGGGCCAGGCCCTGTGTCAGCCAGGAGGAGGAGGAAGCTGGGGACGGGCAGGCGGGTGGTGGCCACAGCTTGCCACCCAAGATGTTATTCACTGGTAACAATCCCCATTATCTGCCCCCACTTTGGGCTAATCAGACAGAATTGCTAATGCCGAGGGTTGCTTCCTGCCGCCTCTGGGAGGTAACGGGCACCGAGGGGCGGGGGACGGGGCGGGGCAGGGGGCGGAGGTGGCACCTTCCGGGCTTGCCGGGCTTTGGTCCAGCACTCATTTAGGTACTTAACACCCTGGAGACCAGGACCTCGCCTTTCAAAGCATCCCGGGCGGGAAGAGCTGTTTATATAGACGGGGATTCCGCTGTAAGCGCGATAGTAAGACAGGCAGCCTGCGCATAGCGTGCGCCTCTCACGCCCACCAGTAAGGAGCGGCGTCCCGGGCCGCCCCTCGGTTCCCAGCCTGACCTGCCCCTCACCTCCTTCCCCTCCTCCGCCATGACCGCCGCCGGACGCCTCAGCTTCACCGTGCGCAGGCTCCTGGATTTACCCGAGCAGGACGCGCAGCACCTGCGGCGGCGGGAGCCCGAGCTGCGCGCCCCGGGTCCCGGCCCCGGCCCCTCCTGGCTGGAACCCGAGCGCGGCCCCTACGCGTGTGAGTGAGCGGAGGACGGCTGCGAGGGTGGAGGGGGCGCGCAGAACCCAGCGCCCGGCCCACGCGGGGCTGGATTTCCTCAGTGTTAAAAGCGTAGGCTCTGTCCTCAAACCCTTACGCTATGCATCCCTCGGTCGGCACACCCTGAGGGCAGATCCCTGCGCCTGGCACTCACGCTAGGTACTTGGGCTTCTGTTTCTAGGGGGTCAGAGTGTGTAAATATTTAAGACAGGGCCCTTAAATGCCTGAAAACACGGTCACGCTCTCCAGTCCTCCGTGTGGGATGGGGGGAGTCGGCGAACTTAGACCTACTACTGGATTCAGGGCTTTGCAAACCTCAGCCAACCGTGGCGCGCTCGACCCGGAGGTGGCCCGTGCTGGTGAGCGAGCTCGCGGTAAATTCATCTGCCAGCCCGGCGACCGGTGTGGACTTGTTTTAAGAGGGCCCCTATGGGTTTCTGTGGGGGCGCGGTCTCAGGTTGTGGTATATAAAAGGTCACTAAATTCGAAGAGATGGGTGTTGAAATGTGGGCCCGGGGAAGGAAACTGCCTCCCCCCCAAAGCCCCGGGAGAGTGGCTCGGCACCCGCGCGCGCAAAGCCGCCTGCGCGCAGAGGGCCGGCGCCTCACCAGGCCCTGTCTCCTTTGCGTCCCCAGCCTCGGACGAGAGCAGCCCAGAGACCAGCCCGCCCGACTCCTCGCCGCGGCCGCCCGCTCAGCCCGCGTCTCCGAGCTCGGACGCCGAGAAGAGGAAGAAGCGGCGGGTGCTGTTCTCCAAGGCGCAGACGCTGGAGTTGGAGCGGCGCTTCCGGCAGCAGCGCTACTTGTCGGCGCCCGAGCGCGAGCAGCTGGCGCGCCTCCTGCGCCTCACGCCCACGCAGGTCAAAATCTGGTTCCAGAACCATCGCTACAAGCTGAAGCGCACGCGCGCGCCGGGGGCCGCGGCGTCTCCGGACTTGGCCGCAGCTGCGGAGCTGAGCGCCGCGCCAGGCCTGCTGCGCCGCGTGGTGGTGCCGGTGCTGGTGCGCGACGGGCAGTCGTGCGGCGGCGGCAGCAGCGAGGTGGGCCTGGTCGCCCGGGACAAAACCGGCGCGCCCCCAGCCGCCGCCTGCCCTCTGCCCGGCTACGCCGGCTTCGGGCCCGGCTCGGCGCTCGGCCTCTTCCCCGCCTACCAGCACTTATCACCCCCCGCCCTGGTCTCTTGGAACTGGTGAGGCAGCTGCGGGGGCGCGGGCACCGGGCTACCCCACACTCTGTAGTGCGCTCTGTGGCCAGAGCAGCTGGAGCCGCAGACCTGGCGCGCTCCCCCGGCTTCACCATCCCGCCGGCTCGATGTCCTTTGGCGCCGGGATCCCTGCTCAGCTCTCACCAGCCGGCGCGTTAGGAACTTTTCACCAAGATTGCGCCCTGTCCCCATGTCGTCCGCCAGGCTCAGAGCTACAATTTATTGCTTGAACCTTATTTGTATGGGTAGCAACTTATTTTTTAAAGAAATAGAATATTTTTCCTCTTTGTGGTGCTAGAATAAAATGTGTAGGGTTGGGCCCCCTTGCGCGCCTGCCAGGAACCGTAGGTGGGAGCTGTGTTTCTCCGTGCCCTGGTGAATTAAGGCCCACCCCGAGTTGGGTCAAAGTACCTACAAGGCTTTAGGGTGGTAGGGGAGAGGGAGGAAGCAGAAGCAACTCTGGGGTCCCTGTTAGTGGGAGGTGGTTCTATCCCAAAGGGACTCAGAGGCCTCTCTGGGTTCCCAGAGCTGCTGGCGTTTCAAACACCAAGAGTCAGTCCCCTCGGTCACAGCCAAGACAGGACATGAGCTTCTCTGTAAGGATTCTCTCGGGAGGCTGCTATGGGGGTCCAGCCTGAGCAGCCCCGATTGGCTTCAAGCCTTTGGTTTCTGGAGTGCAGCAGCCAGGGCTCAGGGACCCAAAAAGCACCAGAATGTATAACCCCCAGATAAGCCTTTGAGTGCCTCACCTGGCAGCTGTGATTTCCTGCTGCTGCTTGGCGCTACACCTGATCAGGGTGGCCTGGTGAAGAAACCAAAGAATGGTGGGGAATGACCCACCTTAGGGCTGCCAGTAGAGGGAGGACCAGTTTAGAGAGCCCTGGGGACATAGATGTGGGATATGCTGGAGGATCTCATTTCATACCCGGTCCCAATGCATACTAGGGCTGGAGGATCTAATGTTTCCCCCCTGGGTAACTGCGCTTGGCTTGGTAAATGGAGCAGCAAGGCCTCCTCTGCAGTGGTCACTCTTTGGAGGGGAAGTGAGTACCTCTCTGCCTGGCACCCACTGCAAGGTGCTGAGCAGCAGTTTCCGGCATCAGATCCAGGGAATGGAGCAAGGGTGCAATGAGGCCTAGGAGGAGTAGGCATGGGGCCTGTTGGGGGCCCCTCTCTTGTTCCAAGAAGAAGAGGAAGGGTGGCTTAGACGGTGTTATCACCTGAGATTTGGGGGGATGGGAGAGAGAGGAGGGCAGATGGGGAAGGGAGTTGGGTGTTTGGGTCTCAGCTGCTGGCCACCTTGCCTTCCATATGGATGTGGTTATCTTAGGAGAATCTCAAGCCTTAAACCTCCTTTTGTCTTGGGAATTGAAAGGGGCATTGTCAGGCCTGAAAAGGACCTAGACAAAATCAGAACAGTTTCGATTCAGGACTCTGTTTAATCAGTCCCTGGTGACAATGTAGTGGGTGTTAGGGAGGATAATGGTATCTTTTTAAACCTTGTGGCCTTCAGAAAGACAAAGAGCTTGAATTTTATGGGCTTACAACTTCAATTAGAATGGTGCCAGTGTGCATGGGAGATTATAAAATTTGTATCATAAAACCTCTTTCCAGTAAATGATGACTGGGGAGGGAGCATGGACATTGTAAGATATACATTGGAAATAGCCCTGGAGACTTTCTAGTTAGCCCTGACAGAGCAGATGGGAAAGAAAAGGAAGAAAGGATTTCTGAAGGCCTGAGTTGGGACTTGTCCCTGTGGTCAGCTGGCTGGGTACCCCATTCCTCCTGAAGGGGTTTTCACTCCAAGAATGGAGGTAAAGATTTGTAACTTGTCTTCTGCTCTTGGCGGTGACAATGATTTGAATGTTCTTGGGAAGAAAGTACAAAATCACCCCTGTTCAGTTTCATGCCTTTTCTTTTCCTGGAGCTCTAGAGAAAGTAGGTCTTGCAAAGTGGAGACCCATGGGTCTAAGAGGTCTGGACTATGGAGAGAAGCTCTTCCCAGGAGCTCTTAGGGAGAGCATGCCCTCAACCAAATCATCCAGAGGTCTAACCAATAAGAAAAACCATTTATCTGCTTCCCAAGGTGGTCAGAGCCATAGCAGGAAGCTCACCAGCAAGCCAATCTGTGTCCTGGCCAGGAGGAGAGCAGACATTTCCTATAGCATTAGCATCGGGAGCCATCAAGTATACACTGTTACCTGCTTGCTTTTTCTCTTTTTCCTTCAGACCCTTTCCTTTAGAGAGAAAAAGCCATAAATGGAAGTTAAAAATGGGAATTAAAAAAGCACTCCGATCACCACCAAACCATTTTGGAGACTCAGGCTGTCCTTTTCTTCTGTTTACACGTGTGATAAGCAGAAAAGGTAACTGTCAGTTTCCCTGATGACCTAAAAGATCAGGTTTTTCAGGCTCTGACAAGGAAAGCTAAGCCCAAAGCCTCTCTTCCAGCAGCTGTGAAAACATGGTATCCCTCCCTAGATGAGAATATTTCACACCTGTCACCCATCACCAACATCTCACTCTGCAAACTTATATTTATTTATACTCAGCAAACTTACATGGAAATGTACTGTGCTCCAGGCATTGTTCTGGCACTTTTACAGCTGATCTCACAGAAACCTTATGCACGGTCTATGTAATAGCCCCATTTTACAGATAAAAAACTGAGGCTCAGTGTGTGGGAATAAGTGACTTGTCCAAAGCAGTTATAAACCTCATAGAATGTTACCAGTGTCTTCAGCTTAACTTACATTTAAACCACCCTGCAAACTCCTCTTGAGAACAATTGTAGTCTTGATGTGGTGACAATATATACACCACCCAGCCATCATAAACGTGTCTTGTGGATAGTCTGGAAGGATGAGGACATGCCAAAAGCACTCTACACAGTTCAATCACAGGGCCACTCATGAAGCTGATCATGTGATATCATAGTGTAGCTGTTAGCATTTTAAATGTTACCTGTGGACCAGGTAATATTCTAAGTTCTTTTCCTCAATTAACTCATTCAATCTTCCCAACAACTCTGCAAGATGGTACTAGTATTCCCATTTTACAGATGAGAACACTGAGCTTATAAGTAACTTGTCCAGGGTCACACAGCTAGAAAGTGACAGAGAGGATCTGAACCCAAGCAGTCTAACTCCAGATCTCATACCTTTAAGCACATGATGGGAATTCTTTTCCATTCTTTGTTTATATTTCTCAGTTGACAGACCTGGTTACCTTATAGAATAGATGCTTCTCTGAAAGACATGTTTTTACCATGCTTTTGTCTCCTTCCCTCCCTCCCTCCCTCCCTCCCTCCCTCCCTCCCTCCCTCCCTCCCTCCCTCCCTCCTTCCTCTACCAAACCTCAGCTTTTGGACACAGCCACTGTGTTTGCCCTGTGTCTGTGTGCATTCTTGTCCAGCTGTCAATGGAACACAGCTCTTCTCTGCAGGTCACAAAATTTTCCGGTGACTGTCATTCCACCATTCTTCCAGTAAAACATCTGCTGCTGCTGTCTTGACACCAATTGTCCACTCAGGGTTTGGTTTGCTGCTGACCCATAAGCCCCTCTGAGCTTTCCCACCCACAGGCCTAGATCCCTGGGGAGCTTTATGACTTTGCCTTCCCTACCCCTTTCCCAATCATCCTTTTCCTTCCTAAGCGCCCGTGCTAGCGTTATTATTAAATATCTTCACATTTTCTCTCTCTTCTTTCATTGTAAACATTTTCACTTCATCTCACTTAAGTCTCTTGTGGGTGGATATTGCAATTTTCACTTCAATTTTCTTTCCTCATTGTTCAGAGGATCTTACATCTTAGCACGTCTCTTATCTGACCAATTTAGCACTTAAGAATCTTGGATAATGTGCAACTGATGGGTTAGAAGGAAGTTATTTGAGCCCAGGTTAACCTATTCCTTTCCTTATAACAGTGGTGTTTAGATGTTTATTGTTATCTTGCCTGGTTTATACAATTAATTTGCCTCTTACACACACACACACACACACACACACACACACACACACACACATTCACTACCTTTAAAACATTTTAGACTTAGAAATAAAATGCCCAGGCAGGATAGTTATGGGCTTGGCATGGCTAAATTGTTAACCATGTTTATCTGTTCTGGGTGTTTGGGTTAATCAGCCTAGGAGGTTATCTGTAAACATGAGCAATAGACAGTCAAAGGAGCATTAGAAATGCTGAGAAAGTACTGTGCCTGTGCCAAGGCATGGTCATGTCAATGCACATGATTGTATCACTTAGTAATTTAAAATCTGCATAAGAAATTGTATCTCTCCAGGTCACTCATCATTTTTCCAAGCCATAATGTGGGAGGGGATTTACTAAATAGTACCTGACTTGTTTTCACAATTCCAATTCTGTACCAGTTAACTCCCCTCCAAACCTCAGCTCAACAATTTGTGATACATCCTTTTCTTCTGCATGCCCACCATTCATGTTGCTCAGTCTATAGGCTCACCAAAGACATGAACAGAGTTCCCTAAACACTGATCCATAGAGTGGTGTTGTAACCAGGAAGAATCAATCAGGCTATTGAACAGTCACACATCTTCCCCAGATTTTCAAGCACAGGGATTCTCATGTTTTTCTAAACATGTCCAGTGGAGAGTTTTTATCATTTATGCAGAAAAGTAACATCACATTTTGGAGGTAGATAATCATTTTATTTTCAATATTCTGCCTTATGGACCAATGAAAATATCTAGGTCTTCACTGAAGTCATGTAATTTTCAAAGCTATTTTGGTTTCACTGTAGTTTCTGTGAGTAGTGTTGGGGAAAGAACATCTGAGGAGACCTTGGTCATGCTTAATTTCCTCCTGCATCCTGACTGGGTGGTCTTTTATGAGTCAACAGGTTTTCAAATGCATTTCCCCAGCTAAAAGCTCTGAAGGACTGTCCCTTTTCTCTCCTTCTAATACCAACTCCCCCTCTCCTCTTCCTACAGGCTGGATAGGATACTTGGCA